ATTATTATTATTATTATTATTATTTTGAATGCAAGATTTAGAATAAATTTAGGAATTGTGATTGCACCAAAACAGAAATCCTTCTTCAACCCGCGTCTTCATTTTGGATTAACCTACAAAGCCCCGAGGTGGATCATCGGAGTAGACACTCTTATGTTTAAAGTAGCAATAATCGAATCTACCTCTAAACTAATAAAAAAAAAAAGCTTTAGGTTGGTTTCAATTACCTTTTCGAGGTGATTCGAGAGGTATTTATAAGCCTTTGTGAGATGTTATGTGGCTTGCTTAATAAGATAATCGGAATGTGACGTGTCCTCGCAGGCAGGCAATAATTTCGAAACCGAAAAATTATGTGTGACAAATCAAGTATGGGCATGTCCACTATATTTATCATGTAACCATTTGATCAGAAATGTTGGATTTAACTTTATTTCGGCTATTAAGGAATTGTAGCAGTATATCTGAGGTTAAGGACCTCAAATCTGTCCTTACAGGAATAATGTTTTATATTATATTATTAAATTAATTGATATATATAATATTATAATTTTTTTAAAATAAAAAAATTAATTATTAAATAATATAAGATTTTTTTAAAATAATATGATTCATGTTAATTATTAATTTTTTAATTTTTAATTCCATTTACTATTATTTAAAAAAAATTATGGATTTAAATAGGCTTCATATTTTTTTAATATATTATGCTTAGTTTGATTTCTTGTTCGATATACATGAGAAAAATATTTGACATTGTTATTATTTGACTTTTTTTTCTGTACTATAGTGCCAAAATTTATTTGGAAAAAATACAAAAAATATATTATATTGTAACTAATTATTTGAAATTGTTATTAATTGATATTGCAATTCAGTGTTAAATATTTACCATTATAATAGAATTATTTTTTACCAAATTTATTAGACATTACATTGAGGTGTGAAGAAGATAATACTTTTGTATAATTATCTTTGATATTGCGGTTTGGTGTCAAATATAAAACAAATAATAAATTAATATGAAAAATATATTACATTGTAACTGTTGACTCAATATACTCTAAGAGGGGGGGTAAATTGGAGTTCCAAAAATTCTTCCTTTTTTGCAACCACAAAATCAAAATTAAAAAGAGTAGAGAAGAAGAGCTTGCTCAATGATTTATAGAGATTCGGTCCAACCACTTGGAACCTAGTCCTCTACCTCGACTTCACTCATCAAGGATTTCTTCTACACTCTCCACTAACAACAATAAGGGTGACTTAAAGGAGCCACTCAATCCTTTTACAAGAAGAAGGGTGTTTCTCTCAAATCTCACCCATTTACACTTAAACCCCATGAATCCTCTCTACAAATCACTCTTGAAGGATTAATAACGCCCCCAAAATCACTCACAAATAGAACAAGAAGAGGATTACAAGTAAAGATCTCTCAAATATCAAAAACTCAAGTTAAAGCTCATGTAGGTAGGTAAAGATATTCAATACAATGCTCTCTAAGCTTCTTCAAATATGTTACCAACCATATTTATAGCCCTTTGCTCAAAAATAGCCGTTTCTAGCAGTTGGGGGTCATTAAATGCTCTGCAGGACGCAAAACTCAAGTTGCAGGATTGTCAGGAGAGCTGGCTTAACTTTCTAAAGACGACTCTACACAGCCGGCTCACCATTTCTGCAGCCGACTTTGCGGGATTCCTGCACATTCTGTTTTCTTCCACAGCCGGCTGCAAAGCCTAGAGCCGGCTTTGGGATTCCAACTTTAAACATATTAAATAATCTTCAAATAACTCGACCGTTGTACATTAAATACACCCTTACAGCCAGCTGCAAAGTTGAAGCTGGCTTTACGTCTTTTCTCCGCGCGCACCAAACAACAGTTGAATTCCTGGCCTATAGAGTCGGCTTTACAAAAATCTGCAGTTGGCTCTTTGCATTTTTGCTTCCCAAAGCCAGCTGCAATTTTCTTAAGCCGGCTCTCAGCATATTTCTACCCGTTGAGCCCTTTTTAATGCAATCTCATTTTGCTTACTTTACAGTATATTGGCAATATAACTACACACTTAAATAAATCAATTAGTCACTCAAATGTGTTTTATAATCATCAAAATCATAGGTACAACAATCTCTCCCTTTTTGATGATGACAAAACACTTTGATCATGAAAGCATATATACTTCAATATTAACCTCAAAATTTCAGCACCAAGAAAATGACATTAAGAAATTAAGACATTTAAGAAAATTATGAAAATTCAACATACTTTCTCCCCCTTTTTGTCATTCATCAAAAAGTATATAAACATAAGCAATAAACTCCCCCTTGATTCATGCTATCAACCTTTAAACCATCGAGAATATGTAATGAATATAATCATCAATCATCATCAATATAGCACTATAGACAACCAAAGTCATGAATGCAATCATCAACCAATAAACTCCCCCTCAATAAGAGCATATAATCATCAAAATCATAGACAATCAATACCAAAAGTCATGCCAATATCACACATATCTTCTTGAGGAAATTGACTGAATTTTACACAATTGCAAGATAAAAAAGCCATATTCTTAATAATTTCATACTTTGCAGAAGCTTGAGTATCCAAAAAGAGATTTGATTGGGAGATGTTACCTTCTTCTTGAGCTTGACCATTGGTGCTAAAACTACCCACTTGTTTCCTTTTACTTCCAGCCCTTCTCGAAGCCATGAGAGAGAAATCCTAGCAACCACACCAAAAATACAGTAGATCCCACACAAATTAGAGTGAAAAGCTTGAGGTTTTGTGTTGGGTAGGCAAGGATTTGATGGTATTTGAGTCTTTAAGGGATGGGCTTGTTTGTGCGAGGAGAGAGAAACCCAAGGCTTTAAAAAACTACAAGAGAGTCAGCTTTAGTCTTAGAGCCGACTTAATTCTAGAGAGAGAAGACTCTCAGGTTTTTGGGTTGAGCCAGCTGTGAAAATGGTTGAGCCGGCTTTACTGGCCTTGATTGGGACAAACAGAAAGTTTGGGGTTGTTTTGAAGGGAGTGTACCTAATTTGATATTTCTTCATTTAACTAAGTTTAAATTGAACATCAACTATTAAATCATGCAATTTTAGTCATATATCAATGTGTGCATCATCAAATAACATGATTATAATCAAGGTACACATATCAAAGTCATCAATATGCGTAAATTCTAATAAGCAAATACATTAATTTCAAAAGCCATATCAAACACTAGGATCTAACATGCCAAGCTCATTAATTTGCACAAGTTTTAATAATCACATCAAATGATATCATATTCAACAAGCATATATATTAAAGAGTGAAAACACATAAACAAATCATTAATAATCATGTTGAAGTAATTATACTCAATGAATAAATGCAATAAAATAAATAATACCAATTTGAGCACATGAGTGGAGCATTCAAAAATAAATTTCCTTTGCACTTTCACTCCAACATTCTTGTTGAGGCATAAATCTTTTTAAGATTTGCTTTGCTTTCCTTATGACTTTGCCATCAACTTTACCTACAAAACAAAATTAAATTTTGATTTTTTGTACCCAAATTTGCTCGGGTCCATAGGGGTTAGTGCTTAAAGTTCCTTTTGGAACCCAAATTTGCTACACTTTACCTTGAGCTATCAATCTCTTCAAAGGGCATACATAGGCAAAGTGTCCATTTGCACCACAGCAATAACAAGTAATATTAGGATGAGATGATTGACTTGCTCTTACAAAAGAATTTTTAAAAGTCTTTTGCTTTTTAGAATAATCAAATCCAATGTCCCCTTTGTCATAAATACTTTTTTGAAATTTTAAAATAGAATCAATTTTTATTTTTACTCAAGGTAAATTTGAAAATCACATTCTCAAGATCACAAGCTTTTCTCTTTAAAACCTCACTTTCCTTCTTTAAATCTTCATTTCCTTTCTTTAAATCCTCATTTTCCTTTTTCAAAGCATTATTAGACTCCTCATTCTTTAAAGAAGCAATCTCACCATTTAAAGAGGCATTCTCTTTAACTAAAACCTC